TCACGGAAACACCAAATCAAGAGTATTTGTGTTGCGAAGTAGCAAGGAGTAGAAAGAAATACCACTGAAAATGGACTTAGGTTCTTCGATCGGTATATTTATCATCAACTCAAATCTTAGCCACTCCTGTTGCACTGGCTAATTACAGCCACATAGCTTCGTTTAGCACATGAATAACATTTTAATGTTTAGATAAACTAAATCAGTGTCTTCTTGCAAAGGCTAAACAAACGAAAGTAGTTATCTGAAATTATTCCGACACAGCAATAGTATTGGCTTATTCTGTTGTCAGTGTTAGCTAATGCGAGCCAGTGAAACCAGTAGTTTAGTTTCCCCACTTTGTCACTCTCACATCCAGAGTGCGGTCCACAGTGTCAGCGGCTATGTCTAATGCAGCACAATTACTACCGGTCTTTACACAATTCCCCTCCGCTCAAGTGTGATCCACAGTTGGCTGAGTCTGCGCAGTCATGGGCAGATTTTATCGCTGGCCAAGAAACAGTTCAGCGGTCTAAGTCAACAGATGATTACGCTGAAAGCATTTCATGGAAGGGCTGGGGCTGGAAAGGAATGGAAACTAAACTAGGAGCGATTCCTGGTGCAGTACGAAGCTGGTACAGTGAGCTTAAACGTGGCTATGATTACAATACAGGTTTGTGTGGGAATTTTTAAACATCACCTTATTTTTATCAACTCTGAGAAGTTAAGTCAACCGCCATATTCGTTTAAGCTGCATTACCGCTATACTAGCAGAAAGTATAAGGTCGAATCTGTTTCCGAAGCTCATTCGAGAACTGGCTGGTACAGCGAGTTAAGAAACGGCTGCGGTTACAATACAGGTTTGTGTAGGAATGTTTAAACATTACCTTACTTTTATCAACAAGCTCTGAGAAATAAAATCTACCGCCATATTGATTTAAACCGCTTTACGCGTACGAGCAGAAAATATATAGTCGTATCTGTTCCCGAAGCTCATTTGAGATATGGGTTTTGTCCTCCAGAAAATGATGTGTACAAAAATGATGTTTTCCGTCGGTGGTTCTTAGGCAACTAGTCAACTCTTGACTAAATGTTAATTTTTTTTAACATGATGTTGTGTTAAAAGTTAAAATACCTCAGTCCATACGGCGTTTACTTAGGAGTCCATAACCCCTTTATCCCATCGTGTAGACCGTTCCTTTTTATCCTTTTTCAATGAGGGACAATGCTGTAAATTACACAAATGGGAAAAAATCTAATCCATTTTATTTCCTGTCACACAGGTAAAGGAAACGTGACTCATTTCAAATCTGTGGTTGACGCTCGTGAAGCTCGCCTTGGCTGTGGTATCAAAATCACACCAGGAGATGGAACATATGTCGTAGCTCATTATTCCTTAGGTCCTGGGGAGAAATTCAAGCTTAATGACTTCACTCCATCGAAAGACGTGCAAATAAGGAAGCAGCCCGGTAATGAATTAGCCATTTCCATTTACCACCTATTGATATGCAGTTGAACCTCCCTTGAGCGGACAACCTAGGGACTAGTAAAAGTGAGGTGTCCGCTTATGGGAGATTAAGACTGCAGAGTTTGGGTTTCTCCAGGTTCATTACTAGGTGTCCACTTGCGGGAGTCCGTTTGTCAAGATTCCACAGTATTTCTTCCACTTCTCCAGCTATCAGAATAATGAACAAATTGATAAAAGATAAGTAATATTTAATTAATAAAACAAGAAAAACAGAAGGGTTATCCTGACGATGCCAGGATTTGACCACAGAGTCATCGATGTAGCTGTTCCGTCCTAGCAAAAACAAATTTATTTTAAATGTTTATAAACAGTTCGAGTATCGTGAAAGCAAAATAAATACCTGACAAGGCGGTTACGTGGCCAGCTACATATCCAACGTTTGTCTAATGAAAAGCTTGTTTTATCTTGTCTGTAACCGTTCCCAACAAATAGAGCAAGCCCTTACAACAATTAAACAATGCTAATTTTATTGAGCGCTATTTTTTTCAAATTTTTCCAAGTATATAATTTATTTTTAGATAGATCTTTTAGGGAGTCCTCTAGTTTATCAGTTATGTTGGTGCAATTTGTCAAGTGTTCCCTTCAGAAAATAAACTCGTTATTATTATTGACCTTGCGGAGGGGCAGCAAGAATGACTTAAGATCATTAACGAAGAAATGGAGTTACAGTGTAGTCGCATTTATTGGTTTCTATTTTGAAGATCCTCAGTGCCACTTAAAGTCATTTGAAAGGGAGCAATGTGGAGAACTAAAAAGCCCATTTATAACCCCTGACAAGTGTATCAAAGCTGGCTGTTGCTATGACGACATGTTTATGGATGAGCCTTCACTACAGTGGCACAATCAGAACGCCTCCATATGGTGTTTCAAAATGAAGAACATTTTGTCTAAAAGTAAGTGAAAATCTTTTTTCGTGTAAATTTGCCATGTTTATATTACTTGCTGTTCAGGATTTAGGTTAAAGTTAAATTAAAAATTCGCCGAAAATGTCGGAAATTTCGGCTTGCCCTAATGAATAGACCTGAATTTCATTGTTTCAAATAGCTATTATGGGATGTCTACGGGACAAATACATATTAATTTGTCCCCCTGAGCATCTCATAATTGAACTTTGAACTTCAATTTCTTTTCTTTTCTTATATAGAGTACAATAATTGCTTATTAAGAATAGCTATTTACAACAACCAGTGATAACCTTCGCTGGATTAATGTTTTATCAAGCGAAAGTGGAGATATTCCTCGTTACTGTAGTTCCGAGTCTCAAAAAAGTGTTTTACATAAGAGCGAAATAATAGGCTAATTCCATGCACTGAGATCGTTTACTTTAGCTCATAATAAACGGAAAGGCTTTCTACTTTAAATTTCCTTTTTTTCTTTCATGTTGTTGGCCCCTAAGCATGATGGTTTTTTGGTTCAGTGTTTTCTTATGGGTGTCTTACAAAAACTCATTCGAAAAGAATGATTTGATGAAAAACTTAATGAATAAATTGGATAAAACTTGACTACAAGTATTTCTTTTCGTTTACATAGTTCCTGGGGCAAGTGATGTACAAATATCTGAACACGGACCAACTTTGGCCCTACCCACCCAGCTTCCCGCTCAACTTTCAAAAGAGAATCCAGTTGAAAACTTCAAAACGGCGCAGATCTCAACAGGTAAGAGATTGTAATTAAATGTATTTGAAATGATATAAGATCATGGAACAAATTGCTAGATATAGATTGCTGTTGTGGCGCTTTTTCAATTTCAATAGACCATTTTACAGTTGTCTGCTCAGTGACCTGGCCTTTGTATGGCANTAGTCTCTATGGAAACAGAAGCTGAATGGAATTTCATCAATAGCGAGATGCAACAAATCACACTCCCTGGAGTAAATGAATGGCACATAGGTTTGAAGAATCAGGGAACCTGGCAGTGGGTTAGTGGAAAGCCGCTAACCATTGACAAATGGCAAAGGTACGAGCCGTCTGGTGATGGAAATGTCGCTGTCATGTCCAAAGATTACCCACCAGGATCTAAGGGACTATTTAACGATCTGAACGGCCTATATCCCAAACCTTTCATTTGTGAAATGCCTTCAGGTAAGATTACAAAATAAGTAAAGTTGATAACGGTTCTACGAAATAATTTTCACTGTGGTTCCACAGACGGAAAGAATGACAAATTGAAAGCTTAACCTTGAGAAAGAGGATTTTATTGTCCGGACTGAAAAACACCAAATGACGCAAAGGATACACAGTATGAATTATAATGTGTGGTGATAGACAAACCTTGTCGTGACATTGTGTTTATATTTTTTGTTTGAAACAAGCTGCTTTGGCCGTTGACAAACCTATGTCGTCATTTGTAGAATGTAAAAGACTGAATTGAATTGAATTGTTCGCGATTGTGTATCCGAAAGAAGGGCAGGGCAAGTCGGTTTAACTTCGCAGAAAAGTTTTTTTTTTTTTTTTTTTTTTTTTTAACTAGACATGGACAAAGACATAGAGGTAGATAATTTATTTAGTTGAACAACACACTTAACTATAGTAACGGTGCGTCTCAGACTTTATAAGCAGAGTCTACCGGATGCACCAGCTAGCTTACAGGTGCGCCAAGGAAACATAATAACAAGCGATAAGAGAACATTCTCAATGAATCGTATATAACCGATAAATAGATATCTAATAGCTGCACATTGTGACCGTTTAGGGTTCCTAATGCTTCCTCTTTTAGCTCTCCATAGTTTTGGATTTGGGTGCAAAAAAAAATTGGAGATGATGTAGAGAAGAAAGTGTATAGCTGGTGCACACTTGTGAAGCTAAAATATATGCTTTGTTATTCAGGGGCAAAGCCGCCAGCACCACCGGGTGCAACAGCTGTACCCCCAGGGGAAACAACTCTACCACTTGGGTCTACCACTGTACCATCGGGGACAACCACGATGCCTCAGGGATCCACAGTTTTACCATCGGGGAGCCCCCCTACTCCTGCTGGGGGAGGAGGAGGAGGAGGAACGGAAGGTGAGAGACAATTTTGTCAGTCATCACTAAATGTCTGAGGACTTACCATAACGTGGCATTGTTGGAAAAGGGTTTGTATAATTTCTTTGCTAGGAAAAAAAAAAACAAGGATGAGCGTAAGTCTATACGCAGTACCTTTAAGGGCTCTAAAACGACCAATGTGGGGTAGTTTCTAATAAGTCTAATATTTGATGGGTGAATCACCACCTTTGAGTAGCAGTGATAAAAATCGACCATATGGGCGAATAGGCATCGCGCTTGATTGCAAATGACTAATTAAAAATTAGATTATGAGCTCGAGGTTTCTATGAGGTGATAGTTGATGAGGCCGAAGGCCGAATGAACTATCGCCTCATAGAAATCGAGAGCGAATAATCTTATTGTTTTAGAAGAATTCTAACTGAAATAAACGCAAATAACGGTTTTTAATTATTTTTCTACGCATTATTGAACTTTACGCTTTAACAAAATCCTTGGTAAATTTGCAGTTGTTTACGCGCGCGCTCCCGTTTTTTCAATAATTTCAAGTTTTTAAAGTCAAGAAACCGCTAATGTCCTTCTTTTAGTCTTATCGTGAATTTAATTTATCCATTTACATCTAACTTTCTTCCAAAACTTCGGATAAACGATTAAAATGTCGCATTTTGTGGACGACCGACAGCCACTGCACTCTAATGGCTGATGGTATACGAGTAGCTCAGCCAATCAGATTGCAGCATTTGCATTGGTATACTAGTAGAATTCTACTTATGCTGAATAGTTTTTAGCGCAAACAAAATTCAAAAGGTAAGGTCGCTACCGCTAAATAATAGTGATTCTTCACTTCCTACCTCTCCACGCGCGGATGATCTCCAGAATAAGGTCATGTCATTCAGCTGCGTAAACGAAATGATATGCTAATTAAATAAAATATCAGCTTTTCATTAATATGTTTACTTGACATTTAACCTGGTTATAAACGTTTTAGAATGTGTATTGCTGTATTCTTGCGTTTCAGGTATGACAGGATTTGAAAAAGACTGCTTGGAGGCTCACAATGAATATCGCGCAAAACACGGAGTTCCACCTCTGAAATGGAATGCACAACTGAAAGCGGATGCGCAGGAGTGGGCGAACCATCTTGCTGACATAAGTAAGTACATTCCAACCTCTCGACAACGGCCACCGTGTGGACATGGGTAGGTCGCCGTGACAGGGAGGTGTCCGTCATCGGGAACAAGGGCTGTAATGTTGATGTATTTTATTGCTGTGATTTGTGTCCGCACAGGCGAGCTGTACTGCATTGCTGAGACATGCACAGTTACTTGTAATTTAAACTAACTCTGTTTTTTTTTGCCCTGTGTTTTTTTATGTTGGAATTCTTCCGTCAATTGCGTAAATGTCGTGATCCAGTAGAAAAGTACCAGTGGGTGGTTGGTGTATATTTGATAACTAGGAGTAATCTAGTCTATCGCAGGTTAACATTCAATTCTTATGGGCACGGGCTGGTGATGAGACTTACTCTTGAGAATATAGGTATAAAGGTACCTCTAACGTGTATTTACAATGCCCAGAAACCACAAAAAAGATGTCTTGTTCGTCAAGAATACATCAGACGAAGGCCACCCAGGGCTTAAACGGGTCTAAACCTAGCTAGTAGACCACTCTAAACAAGATAACATTTATGCTTCTACATCCCTGCAAAAAAAACAAACAAACAAATAAACAAACAAACAAATAAACAAACATGGGCGTCACCCGGGGGGAGACTCTCATTTAAAAAGGACGGGGGTGTTTGTCTCACCTTTTAGGGTAATCTAAAGCAATAGAGTTTCTGCTCGCGGACATAAATATGTTTTGGGCCCGACTCAGACTCATTTTAGCCCGAGCCGCTAGGCGACGGTTAAAATGAGCTCTGAGAAAGGCCCAAAACATATTTATGCCCAAGAACATAAACTCTATTACTATGATTATCACTTTGGAGGGCATTGAGAAAATAAAAAGTGAAATGAATGACAACAATGAAAACAGTCTGAACAACCACGCGGGTGTTTACAAGTTGAGTGGCTTTTATTTTCCCTCAATGAAAATACACAATACATCAAGCGAAGCTGGCTAGAAATTACAAAATCTTGCCATTCGAGTTTTCAAAAATTGTAGAAGACATGAAAGGAAAGTTCGATAAAGCTTATTTGTAAGTATTGAAATAACTGTACAATTGGTAAACTGACAGTTTGGCATAATTGGTTGAGCTGAGTGCGTTTGGCTTGAGGCCGCAAAACTTTCAAGCACTTCGCCACCAGCAATGGAGCTACCACACGCGGTGTTTACATCAGAAGCTTCTCTTAAAATAAAAGGACGACTAATTGTTGTAAAAGCTTCTCGATTTTGATTCCCTGCTTACATCGTGCGACTGTTTTAATCTCACTCTTCGTTGGCTTATTTCAGTGGTCTAAATTACATTTTATCCCTCCAAATTATCCATTTTAGCCCGCAAACTGCGCCACAATGGCCGACCAAGTGATAATAATAGCGGTTGGGATACCTCTGAGGGTGTTCATCTTCAAAAGGTCCACAGTGGCAGCTTTTGCGGTACTTTTCATGACAGGAGATAATGTGTTGTTTTACAAGTGGTACCTTGTAGGGGTGAAAAACATTTCAAGCCACGCCCACAAAACGGGATCTTGTGGGGTGCTTCATTTTCATTAGATTCAATTTGTTAATTTCTTTCCGAATATACAGATAACATGGAGCATGATTACGAGAGCATTAACAAGGGATCCGGTGAAAACCTCGCCTATTTCCAGCCTGGTGACCCAAATAACATGCCAACACAGTGTCAAGGACCCAAGAATCCCTCTTGCGTCCAGTGCCGTGAAATGGTCGCCGATTGGTACTCCGAGGAATCAAACTTTGACTACAACACGGGCAAAAGCAAGGGAGGGGTAATCCTACATTTTACTCAAGTAGTTTGGAAGGAGACCACAGAGCTGGGAATGGCGACTGCCACCAGCGCAAACAAGTGGTTTTCTGTTGCGCGATATAAAAAACGAGGAAATATGGGCGATTCAGAAGCTTTTAAAAAGAATGTACCAAGGCCTCAGTAGGAGAGTGTAGTTTGTTTATATGGTATAATTATAATCAGTAAACCACAATTTGATGTTGTTTGACTGTTAATAATATTGCACTTGTTGAGGGGCACAAATATTTCTTTCTCTTAACTTCATGCTCGTCTCTCCAGGGTTGTCTTCTGTTCCAACGATATTATCTATGTTTCGTCCTGAACATTCAAAACCTCCTCATGGACGATATTAGTGAAATTTTGTGGGTTTTGCTCTGAACGTTACACATATTGACCAGCGCAACATCGCCAATATTAAGAACTGGAGAACGGCTCTTGGGAAAATCGCTTCCGTACGTAGAAACGATAACTACTATTTGGCGCGAAAATATGCTCAGATATTGGTTCTCGGACAACCGTTCCGAGAAGCAAGCAGTCTGACCGAGAGCGCTCGAGGAAAACTGAGCTTCGAACAACAGATACGCACCAGGAGAAATATATGAGTTTATTTTTTTTTCCCAAGCATCTGAGCGGACCGGAATCCTAAATCCTCGAACTTGATTAGCTAATCATGCGCTCGTGACTGGTCCAGCTTTTTACGATATGGCCCACGGGCCGGATTTTTTCCCCGCTGTAGCGACTACGGCTCCTAAATTTCGCTCGGGCTTGAAAATGCTGCCCTTGGTCACAGTTTTTCACTATACGGACCTCACAGCCGGCAAATAACATACATTTATTTTTAAAGTCAATGGTGGCTATTGTGTTTATTATATTATCCTCCAAATATTTTTTCGCCACACGAGGAATTGAAAAATATCACTCCAATATTATCGAGGTTTACCTGGCGCGTATTCAGTCACGTGATGCGTTTAGACAAATCGCGTGCGAGGGAAAATTCCTAAAGGAGTTATATAGAGATGAATATTCAGGACTTTTCAGAACGTGGTTTAAAAAACCCTTGAGATTTGATTTTTGAAGGAGGTTTATGTATAAGTGTTTTTACTTCTTTAGTAAAAGTTTTGGCGCCCAACTGAACATTTTTTTAAATATTTTTGTTTAAAATGCTGGAAAAAATGAAGCATTTCTTAAGAGCGACAATGTGATCCTTAAAGATTAAATCCGTCTGGAGACAGAAACATCCTGAAATTTTAGGTGATTGTTTATTGAAATGTCCTCTCGCAGACTTATCTCGTTAATATCCCTGTATAAATCTTCCATTTTGTCTGCCAAAAGCTTTTATTTTAATTGCATTTGACAATGGTTGCGTGATTCGGTGTCGCGTTTCTCTCATCAGCTTGACTTGCTACTTGGCTGCAGCTCATTTGCATTCGTAAGGATAATAACTTAGGCACGCATCTGGGTATTTGAAAACCCAACAGACAAAAATAATGATAAATTCATAATGCACTCTCAAGTACACGTCTCTCAAGTATTGTTTACACGAATTCTCCTGCGTTCTGCGCAGGCTATTGGCCAAATTGGTCACCTCGCACGCGAATATTTTCAATTCCCGCTAAAGATAGATTCTCATTAATTCAAAACAGGTCATAGGGAGCTTTTCGCAGCGGAACGGAAGGCAGCCGCTTGATTCACAGTAGACTCTTTGCTTTTCATGAATCTCACGCTTTATATTATTTGAACTTGAAATATTTTACCGGTTACGATGACGAATACATCATCCTGGAGTTATGCTGAGAATGGATTTGGTAAGTAATTCAACCACTGTTTTTTCCTAGTTTGCTGTCGTCGATTTCTTAGTTAAATTTAATTCCCAGTGCTTTCAGTATTGACGGTTGAACTCGTTCGCAACCTACGGCCGTGAATTTACCACTATATATCCATACGTTGCGCCATTCCTTCCAAATGAAAATTAAATATAACGTTTATTGAATTCTAAGGGCTTGTTCTTGACTATCTTTCATCGATCTTTTTTTCATTTTGTTTTAATTTATCATTTTTGATGCAAAATGTCCCAAATTTGTCTTGTTCACCCAAGGAACTCGAACAGAACCTTTGGTGATATTTCTAATTGCTACACTTTGACATACACATTGTAAACCGCTTTCTGGGTGACAAAATCCTGACCTTCTTGCCTTGAAACCATTCTTTTTTTCTTCAGAATGCCTGCTGATTATATTTTTTCGTTAAACCAGTGTTCTTCCGGTTCTGCTATCATCTTATTCGGGACTGAACGTGTGGTTGAATCTCAACTCCAAATAAAAACCTCATCTAGCGTTATATTTTGCATCCTGACAACATATCTCCGCGGTGAAAATAACTTGTATCAAATTGGTAGCCAGAAAAGCCACTGGTTTAAAACCACCGGCTTAAAACTTAGCTCTATTATGGATCTTAATCTCGAGTTTTGATTGTGAATAACAGACTTTGAACCATTTCTGAATCTTGGAAGTTTTAATGTCTAAACAAAACTTCGTCAAGCAGAGACAATACTCTCGTTAATTTAGAGGACGAAATTCATCGTTAGAACTTTCTCAATTTGCTCGCAGCACGAAAACATTTTGCAAAACACCTTTAATCCATCTTTCGTTCAATTTGCATATGGATGCAAAATTTAAGATGCTTTCGCAACTTCAGTCACTGCCTTAAACGATTAGATATTAATTATGTTGAGCAGATAGAGAATTCCATTAATGTACTGATGTATTTCAGGCCCTCAAAGTTGGCAAGATCGCTACAAAGTCGCGGACGGTAATTTGCAATCCCCAATTAACATCGAGACTGCGAACGCAAAAGATGACAACATTGTAGGACCAATCAAATTTCTTTACGGGAGCATCAACAACAGCACGCTCACAAACGATGGAAGACATCTGCAAGTCACGATAACTAAAAATGAATCAGGTAAAAAAAAAGACGTTTCGTAAAAAACGATTTTACTGGAATCTCGTTTGTTATTATAACTGCACGATCAAGCTATATTTAAAAAGAAAAATCATTTACAATACGCACAATATAAGCTGGCAACAGTATTATTCTGAAATAGTTACGAAGGATGTCATATTAAAGATATTCAAACAATATACGCTGTGTCTCGAAGAAATTTAAATAACCTTCCTAACCCCTACATAGGCTGTAGGATGTATTTCAATGTTTTATTTTGCGGTACGGAGGTCAAAGTGTTGATTCAACAATTTATTTGCTGAGATATATTTTTTTGTTTGTTTTGTCTTATTTTCTTTGTTTTCTCTTCACGTTTTCACTATGTCAGTCTGTGTTAATATTTTCGAGATTATTGTGAATGCTTAACATAAGAATTAGTCGTTGCCGATATTACCAACGTAAGTCTATATTCATTGTTTGAGCAAATATATTACCGCACACTCTATTCAAACTCTCCAGTTAAATAGATAACAGTTGTTCTAACAATTAACTAAGAAAGAAACTTCCGAAATGTTAATATTTCTATATTAATTCTCCTTTCAAATGTTATAAAGAAAACGAGATTCGCGATTGATTCAACTGGGTTGAAGGTCAGCAACAAAGCAATAATCCATGTTCCTCATTTTTATTTCCTTGAATTGTTTTACTTTTTTCCCTGGTACAGAGAAGTATTTTGAACTCAGCTCTAAGCTGTACTTCGTTATCTTTGTTGAACACCATATTCTGCTAGACAAAATGGCTACACGTCTTCTGCTCAGATATTTTTATGGTCAGTACTTTTTCAAGGCCAAACTCGCTGCATTGATCGAGTTTGTCTGTCTCCTGCAGTTTTGTTTTTGCTTTTCATTGAATTTATTTAAAGGAAATCTTGTAAACTCTGTTGGAGATTGTACATAAATAATAACTAACACCAAAACCGTTTTAAGAAAGCGTCAGTTTTTTGCCAAAAAAGCTAAGTCATTAGGCACTGAATGTGATATACCTAGTACCTCCTAAAAGGACTGCTGTTCAATCGAACTATGGACAAAATTTACAACTAATTTATCTTACATCAGTTAGACTACGAAAAGATGTTTATTAATACTATGTGGTTTGGTTGTTGAAATTTAATTGCGGTGTTGACAAGTTCACGGTTCAAATTCAGAGCATGATCCAAATTATGTAGTTTATATTCGCACTTGGTAAGTCGTGAGAGAAAATTCGAACGTAATGGCCGGTTTTACAATTTCACTTTCGATTTTAATTTCTTTTATAAGTGCTACTATGACCGGATTTTTACCCATTGAATTTTAACGGTGTACCAAATAGAACTCCACGAAAGATTAAAAACGCCGTTTACCGTTTGTAAATGTCTCCATTAGTTCCAGAGATATTTTAAAAGTTTGAAAAATGTGTAAAACATGGAAATGAAAGGACTGATGACGTCATACTCTCAACCCAATATTACATGAGGTATATAAAAAGAGCTATATCGGTCAATTTGCATAAGAGACTATTGAAACTTGGTAGGCTAATAGTTCTACAGGCAACACACATACGGCCATAAAAAATTCTGTTCTCACGGCAGCTCACTCTTGTCCAGTCTCTCGCCAACTCGATTTTAAAATTTTAGTGATTTTCAGCTCGAAAANGCAAACAAAATTCAAAAGGTAAGGTCGCTACCGCTAAATAATAGTGATTCTTCACTTCCTACCTCTCCACGCGCGGATGATCTCCAGAATAAGGTCATGTCATTCAGCTGCGTAAACGAAATGATATGCTAATTAAATAAAATATCAGCTTTTCATTAATATGTTTACTTGACATTTAACCTGGTTATAAACGTTTTAGAATGTGTATTGCTGTATTCTTGCGTTTCAGGTATGACAGGATTTGAAAAAGACTGCTTGGAGGCTCACAATGAATATCGCGCAAAACACGGAGTTCCACCTCTGAAATGGAATGCACAACTGAAAGCGGATGCGCAGGAGTGGGCGAACCATCTTGCTGACATAAGTAAGTACATTCCAACCTCTCGACAACGGCCACCGTGTGGACATGGGTAGGTCGCCGTGACAGGGAGGTGTCCGTCATCGGGAACAAGGGCTGTAATGTTGATGTATTTTATTGCTGTGATTTGTGTCCGCACAGGCGAGCTGTACTGCATTGCTGAGACATGCACAGTTACTTGTAATTTAAACTAACTCTGTTTTTTTTTGCCCTGTGTTTTTTTATGTTGGAATTCTTCCGTCAATTGCGTAAATGTCGTGATCCAGTAGAAAAGTACCAGTGGGTGGTTGGTGTATATTTGATAACTAGGAGTAATCTAGTCTATCGCAGGTTAACATTCAATTCTTATGGGCACGGGCTGGTGATGAGACTTACTCTTGAGAATATAGGTATAAAGGTACCTCTAACGTGTATTTACAATGCCCAGAAACCACAAAAAAGATGTCTTGTTCGTCAAGAATACATCAGACGAAGGCCACCCAGGGCTTAAACGGGTCTAAACCTAGCTAGTAGACCACTCTAAACAAGATAACATTTATGCTTCTACATCCCTGCAAAAAAAACAAACAAACAAATAAACAAACAAACAAATAAACAAACATGGGCGTCACCCGGGGGGAGACTCTCATTTAAAAAGGACGGGGGTGTTTGTCTCACCTTTTAGGGTAATCTAAAGCAATAGAGTTTCTGCTCGCGGACATAAATATGTTTTGGGCCCGACTCAGACTCATTTTAGCCCGAGCCGCTAGGCGACGGTTAAAATGAGCTCTGAGAAAGGCCCAAAACATATTTATGCCCAAGAACATAAACTCTATTACTATGATTATCACTTTGGAGGGCATTGAGAAAATAAAAAGTGAAATGAATGACAACAATGAAAACAGTCTGAACAACCACGCGGGTGTTTACAAGTTGAGTGGCTTTTATTTTCCCTCAATGAAAATACACAATACATCAAGCGAAGCTGGCTAGAAATTACAAAATCTTGCCATTCGAGTTTTCAAAAATTGTAGAAGACATGAAAGGAAAGTTCGATAAAGCTTATTTGTAAGTATTGAAATAACTGTACAATTGGTAAACTGACAGTTTGGCATAATTGGTTGAGCTGAGTGCGTTTGGCTTGAGGCCGCAAAACTTTCAAGCACTTCGCCACCAGCAATGGAGCTACCACACGCGGTGTTTACATCAGAAGCTTCTCTTAAAATAAAAGGACGACTAATTGTTGTAAAAGCTTCTCGATTTTGATTCCCTGCTTACATCGTGCGACTGTTTTAATCTCACTCTTCGTTGGCTTATTTCAGTGGTCTAAATTACATTTTATCCCTCCAAATTATCCATTTTAGCCCGCAAACTGCGCCACAATGGCCGACCAAGTGATAATAATAGCGGTTGGGATACCTCTGAGGGTGTTCATCTTCAAAAGGTCCACAGTGGCAGCTTTTGCGGTACTTTTCATGACAGGAGATAATGTGTTGTTTTACAAGTGGTACCTTGTAGGGGTGAAAAACATTTCAAGCCACGCCCACAAAACGGGATCTTGTGGGGTGCTTCATTTTCATTAGATTCAATTTGTTAATTTCTTTCCGAATATACAGATAACATGGAGCATGATTACGAGAGCATTAACAAGGGATCCGGTGAAAACCTCGCCTATTTCCAGCCTGGTGACCCAAATAACATGCCAACACAGTGTCAAGGACCCAAGAATCCCTCTTGCGTCCAGTGCCGTGAAATGGTCGCCGATTGGTACTCCGAGGAATCAAACTTTGACTACAACACGGGCAAAAGCAAGGGAGGGGTAATCCTACATTTTACTCAAGTAGTTTGGAAGGAGACCACAGAGCTGGGAATGGCGACTGCCACCAGCGCAAACAAGTGGTTTTCTGTTGCGCGATATAAAAAACGAGGAAATATGGGCGATTCAGAAGCTTTTAAAAAGAATGTACCAAGGCCTCAGTAGGAGAGTGTAGTTTGTTTATATGGTATAATTATAATCAGTAAACCACAATTTGATGTTGTTTGACTGTTAATAATATTGCACTTGTTGAGGGGCACAAATATTTCTTTCTCTTAACTTCATGCTCGTCTCTCCAGGGTTGTCTTCTGTTCCAACGATATTATCTATGTTTCGTCCTGAACATTCAAAACCTCCTCATGGACGATATTAGTGAAATTTTGTGGGTTTTGCTCTGAACGTTACACATATTGACCAGCGCAACATCGCCAATATTAAGAACTGGAGAACGGCTCTTGGGAAAATCGCTTCCGTACGTAGAAACGATAACTACTATTTGGCGCGAAAATATGCTCAGATATTGGTTCTCGGACAACCGTTCCGAGAAGCAAGCAGTCTGACCGAGAGCGCTCGAGGAAAACTGAGCTTCGAACAACAGATACGCACCAGGAGAAATATATGAGTTTATTTTTTTTTCCCAAGCATCTGAGCGGACCGGAATCCTAAATCCTCGAACTTGATTAGCTAATCATGCGCTCGTGACTGGTCCAGCTTTTTACGATATGGCCCACGGGCCGGATTTTTTCCCCGCTGTAGCGACTACGGCTCCTAAATTTCGCTCGGGCTTGAAAATGCTGCCCTTGGTCACAGTTTTTCACTATACGGACCTCACAGCCGGCAAATAACATACATTTATTTTTAAAGTCAATGGTGGCTATTGTGTTTATTATATTATCCTCCAAATATTTTTTCGCCACACGAGGAATTGAAAAATATCACTCCAATATTATCGAGGTTTACCTGGCGCGTATTCAGTCACGTGATGCGTTTAGACAAATCGCGTGCGAGGGAAAATTCCTAAAGGAGTTATATAGAGATGAATATTCAGGACTTTTCAGAACGTGGTTTAAAAAACCCTTGAGATTTGATTTTTGAAGGAGGTTTATGTATAAGTGTTTTTACTTCTTTAGTAAAAGTTTTGGCGCCCAACTGAACATTTTTTTAAATATTTTTGTTTAAAATGCTGGAAAAAATGAAGCATTTCTTAAGAGCGACAATGTGATCCTTAAAGATTAAATCCGTCTGGAGACAGAAACATCCTGAAATTTTAGGTGATTGTTTATTGAAATGTCCTCTCGCAGACTTATCTCGTTAATATCCCTGTATAAATCTTCCATTTTGTCTGCCAAAAGCTTTTATTTTAATTGCATTTGACAATGGTTGCGTGATTCGGTGTCGCGTTTCTCTCATCAGCTTGACTTGCTACTTGGCTGCAGCTCATTTGCATTCGTAAGGATAATAACTTAGGCACGCATCTGGGTATTTGAAAACCCAACAGACAAAAATAATGATAAATTCATAATGCACTCTCAAGTACACGTCTCTCAAGTATTGTTTACACGAATTCTCCTGCGTTCTGCGCAGGCTATTGGCCAAATTGGTCACCTCGCACGCGAATATTTTCAATTCCCGCTAAAGATAGATTCTCATTAATTCAAAACAGGTCATAGGGAGCTTTTCGCAGCGGAACGGAAGGCAGCCGCTTGATTCACAGTAGACTCTTTGCTTTTCATGAATCTCACGCTTTATATTATTTGAACTTGAAATATTTTACCGGTTACGATGACGAATACATCATCCTGGAGTTATGCTGAGAATGGATTTGGTAAGTAATTCAACCACTGTTTTTTCCTAGTTTGCTGTCGTCGATTTCTTAGTTAAATTTAATTCCCAGTGCTTTCAGTATTGACGGTTGAACTCGTTCGCAACCTACGGCCGTGAATTTACCACTATATATCCATACGTTGCGCCATTCCTTCCAAATGAAAATTAAATATAACGTTTATTGAATTCTAAGGGCTTGTTCTTGACTATCTTTCATCGATCTTTTTTTCATTTTGTTTTAATTTATCATTTTTGATGCAAAATGTCCCAAATTTGTCTTGTTCACCCAAGGAACTCGAACAGAACCTTTGGTGATATTTCTAATTGCTACACTTTGACATACACATTGTAAACCGCTTTCTGGGTGACAAAATCCTGACCTTCTTGCCTTGAAACCATTCTTTTTTTCTTCAGAATGCCTGCTGATTATATTTTTTCGTTAAACCAGTGTTCTTCCGGTTCTGCTATCATCTTATTCGGGACTGAACGTGTGGTTGAATCTCAACTCCAAATAAAAACCTCATCTAGCGTTATATTTTGCATCCTGACAACATATCTCCGCGGTGAAAATAACTTGTATCAAATTGGTAGCCAGAAAAGCCACTGGTTTAAAACCACCGGCTTAAAACTTAGCTCTATTATGGATCTTAATCTCGAGTTTTGATTGTGAATAACAGACTTTGAACCATTTCTGAATCTTGGAAGTTTTAATGTCTAAACAAAACTTCGTCAAGCAGAGACAATACTCTCGTTAATTTAGAGGACGAAATTCATCGTTAGAACTTTCTCAATTTGCTCGCAGCACGAAAACATTTTGCAAAACACCTTTAATCCATCTTTCGTTCAATTTGCATATGGATGCAAAATTTAAGATGCTTTCGCAACTTCAGTCACTGCCTTAAACGATTAGATATTAATTATGTTGAGCAGATAGAGAATTCCATTAATGTACTGATGTATTTCAGGCCCTCAAAGTTGGCAAGATCGCTACAAAGTCGCGGACGGTAATTTGCAATCCCCAATTAACATCGAGACTGCGAACGCAAAAGATGACAACATTGTAGGACCAATCAAATTTCTTTACGGGAGCATCAACAACAGCACGCTCACAAACGATGGAAGACATCTGCAAGTCACGATAACTAAAAATGAATCAGGTAAAAAAAAAGACGTTTCGTAAAAAACGATTTTACTGGAATCTCGTTTGTTATTATAACTGCACGATCAAGCTATATTTAAAAAGAAAAATCATTTACAATACGCACAATATAAGCTGGCAACAGTATTATTCTGAAATAGTTACGAAGGATGTCATATTAAAGATATTCAAACAATATACGCTGTGTCTCGAAGAAATTTAAATAACCTTCCTAACCCCTACATAGGCTGTAGGATGTATTTCAATGTTTTATTTTGCGGTACGGAGGTCAAAGTGTTGATTCAACAATTTATTTGCTGAGATATATTTTTTTGTTTGTTTTGTCTTATTTTCTTTGTTTTCTCTTCACGTTTTCACTATGTCAGTCTGTGTTAATATTTTCGAGATTATTGTGAATGCTTAACATAAGAATTAGTCGTTGCCGATATTACCAACGTAAGTCTATATTCATTGTTTGAGCAAATATATTACCGCACACTCTATTCAAACTCTCCAGTTAAATAGATAACAGTTGTTCTAACAATTAACTAAGAAAGAAACTTCCGAAATGTTAATATTTCTATATTAATTCTCCTTTCAAATGTTATAAAGAAAACGAGATTCGCGATTGATTCAACTGGGTTGAAGGTCAGCAACAAAGCAATAATCCATGTTCCTCATTTTTATTTCCTTGAATTGTTTTACTTTTTTCCCTGGTACAGAGAAGTATTTTGAACTCAGCTCTAAGCTGTACTTCGTTATCTTTGTTGAACACCATATTCTGCTAGACAAAATGGCTACACGTCTTCTGCTCAGATATTTTTATGGTCAGTACTTTTTCAAGGCCAAACTCGCTGCATTGATCGAGTTTGTCTGTCTCCTGCAGTTTTGTTTTTGCTTTTCATTGAATTTATTTAAAGGAAATCTTGTAAACTCTGTTGGAGATTGTACATAAATAATAACTAACACCAAAACCGTTTTAAGAAAGCGTCAGTTTTTTGCCAAAAAAGCTAAGTCATTAGGCACTGAATGTGATATACCTAGTACCTCCTAAAAGGACTGCTGTTCAATCGAACTATGGACAAAATTTACAACTAATTTATCTTACATCAGTTAGACTACGAAAAGATGTTTATTAATACTATGTGGTTTGGTTGTTGAAATTTAATTGCGGTGTTGACAAGTTCACGGTTCAAATTCAGAGCATGATCCAAATTATGTAGTTTATATTCGCACTTGGTAAGTCGTGAGAGAAAATTCGAACGTAATGGCCGGTTTTACAATTTCACTTTCGATTTTAATTTCTTTTATAAGTGCTACTATGACCGGATTTTTACCCATTGAATTTTAACGGTGTACCAAATAGAACTCCACGAAAGATTAAAAACGCCGTTTACCGTTTGTAAATGTCTCCATTAGTTCCAGAGATATTTTAAAAGTTTGAAAAATGTGTAAAACATGGAAATGAAAGGACTGATGACGTCATACTCTCAACCCAATATTACATGAGGTATATAAAAAGAGCTATATCGGTCAATTTGCATAAGAGACTATTGAAACTTGGTAGGCTAATAGTTCTACAGGCAACACACATACGGCCATAAAAAATTCTGTTCTCACGGCAGCTCACTCTTGTCCAGTCTCTCGCCAACTCGATTTTAAAATTTTAGTGATTTTCAGCTCGAAAAACATTAACATAAGTAACATATTTATATGCTTGCTGGATCATGCAGCTAAGGCATAATTGGCAAATATCAAAATGATGGGCAGGTTAAATTAAGGCTGGTTGGGCTGAAATGCTTTTAATATCGGAGAGGTCTGGAACCCAGTATGTCGCCATGGTAGCAAAACTGTTAAGCTCATATTGTGGAAAACATCTAGTAGATTTGTATCGCAAAGAATCACACATTTATGATACAAATTGGCTGAGATATCTATCTTATCATATTTGATCAAAGTTTGGTTGAGTTTAATGTTACCAGCAGCACTGCTGCTTTAAATGAATTATTCCGAAAGTGGATTATTTTGAAATCATATATCGTAGGAAAGTAGATTACTAGATTTTCTGTTTTAAGTTTTGGCTCAATTTTTGAAAACTGTTCGACATCTTTTTGGTGTTTTTCGTCAATCTCACGTACACTGTCTACTGCCTTACTCAGTTATTACAGGTGGTCCCTTAACAGACAAATACCAGTTGGCTGTTATCCGCTTTCACTGGGGCCAAGACGATAGTTCAGGCTCTGAGCATTCCATAGATGATCAGAATTATCCATTGGAGGTAACACGTAACACATGACTTTCCGAGAGAAAAAGACCTGTAACTGCTCCTCCACTTTGAGGGGTACATTCTTTCTGACAATATAAATTACTTTGCACAGGTTCAACTCATTCACTGGAACAAAGACCTATACAAAAATATCGGACAGGCGATGGCTGGAGAAAACGGTTTGTGTATTATTGGAATCTTCTTTCAGGTAAACCTAAATTCTTTATAAAGAACTGGTTCATTAAAGTATTCCATCAGTTCTGCGGAACGACTTGTTGCAGGCAGGTGAAGGGTGTTAACCTCGTAAATGCAGCAGACTATATTTCTGGAACAGACTATTTTTATGTGAAGTCACTTAACCAATATCGAAGGCTATGTGTCTGTATGTCAGTATATCTGTCCGTTTGTCTCTCTATTTATCTGTCTGTTTATATCCGTCCGTTCGTCCGTCTGTTTTTGTGGCTGTCTGCCTACCTGTCAGTTTGTGGTTCGGTCGTTCCCCCTGTCGACCTCTGAGATTTTGATAGTTTGTTTGTTGGTTATCGTTTGTTGTTATTTGTTTCTTGTCTAATTCAGTTATAATTCAGGAAAGATTCTAAAATAATTATTAAGATATGCATGAGGAGTACAGAAATTAAAATTCTGTGTGGTAATGTGAAGGCGACCTGGGATTAAATAATATGTCTTTGCAATAATAGTAATAATGATAAGGATAATGACGTCTTTAAATTTATTCATTTGATAAAAATGCATATCAAGTGTTATGTACGACATATGTACGACGTTCATCATCGTTCACCTTACAGGTATCGGATGAAGACAACGAAGGTCTAAAGCCAATCGTGAAATTGCTTTCACGTGACGAAAACAAGGTTAGATTCAACAAGAGTATCGGGGAATGGACAGCTGATAACTGAAATGTTTCGCTTAACTTCTAACATTGAGAAATGAATGTTTTCAAACATAGTCAGGGATCAGAACGAGAAACAGAACTAGGAGTATAAACTACAAGCTGTGAGAGTGTTTAAATATCATACCTTGTGAGTAGTTTCCTCGCTTCCCAGATCAACACCTTCCTCTTCCTCCCCCTAATGTCCTAAATTTTCTCATTGGTATGAGGTTAAGTATTCCGCTTGCAATTCAGGAGAATGAAAACAGTCCTTAGCCACTGAGTCAACCATGATTAACTTGAAATCCATAAAGGTCGGCACACACGAGGGGACTATTCCCTGCGTCTAGTCCCTGCGTCTAGTCCCCTGAAGAGTTTACACGAAGGGTCTGGTCGCAGGGACTTGTCCCACAAACAGTTCACACGNTGTGATCCTTAAAGATTAAATCCGTCTGGAGACAGAAACATCCTGAAATTTTAGGTGATTGTTTATTGAAATGTCCTCTCGCAGACTTATCTCGTTAATATCCCTGTATAAATCTTCCATTTTGTCTGCCAAAAGCTTTTATTTTAATTGCATTTGACAATGGTTGCGTGATTCGGTGTCGCGTTTCTCTCATCAGCTTGACTTGCTACTTGGCTGCAGCTCATTTGCATTCGTAAGGATAATAACTTAGGCACGCATCTGGGTATTTGAAAACCCAACAGACAAAAATAATGATAAATTCATAATGCACTCTCAAGTACACGTCTCTCAAGTATTGTTTACACGAATTCTCCTGCGTTCTGCGCAGGCTATTGGCCAAATTGGTCACCTCGCACGCGAATATTTTCAATTCCCGCTAAAGATAGATTCTCATTAATTCAAAACAGGTCATAGGGAGCTTTTCGCAGCGGAACGGAAGGCAGCCGCTTGATTCACAGTAGACTCTTTGCTTTTCATGAATCTCACGCTTTATATTATTTGAACTTGAAATATTTTACCGGTTACGATGACGAATACATCATCCTGGAGTTATGCTGAGAATGGATTTGGTAAGTAATTCAACCACTGTTTTTTCCTAGTTTGCTGTCGTCGATTTCTTAGTTAAATTTAATTCCCAGTGCTTTCAGTATTGACGGTTGAACTCGTTCGCAACCTACGGCCGTGAATTTACCACTATATATCCATACGTTGCGCCATTCCTTCCAAATGAAAATTAAATATAACGTTTATTGAATTCTAAGGGCTTGTTCTTGACTATCTTTCATCGATCTTTTTTTCATTTTGTTTTAATTTATCATTTTTGATGCAAAATGTCCCAAATTTGTCTTGTTCACCCAAGGAACTCGAACAGAACCTTTGGTGATATTTCTAATTGCTACACTTTGACATACACATTGTAAACCGCTTTCTGGGTGACAAAATCCTGACCTTCTTGCCTTGAAACCATTCTTTTTTTCTTCAGAATGCCTGCTGATTATATTTTTTCGTTAAACCAGTGTTCTTCCGGTTCTGCTATCATCTTATTCGGGACTGAACGTGTGGTTGAATCTCAACTCCAAATAAAAACCTCATCTAGCGTTATATTTTGCATCCTGACAACATATCTCCGCGGTGAAAATAACTTGTATCAAATTGGTAGCCAGAAAAGCCACTGGTTTAAAACCACCGGCTTAAAACTTAGCTCTATTATGGATCTTAATCTCGAGTTTTGATTGTGAATAACAGACTTTGAACCATTTCTGAATCTTGGAAGTTTTAATGTCTAAACAAAACTTCGTCAAGCAGAGACAATACTCTCGTTAATTTAGAGGACGAAATTCATCGTTAGAACTTTCTCAATTTGCTCGCAGCACGAAAACATTTTGCAAAACACCTTTAATCCATCTTTCGTTCAATTTGCATATGGATGCAAAATTTAAGATGCTTTCGCAACTTCAGTCACTGCCTTAAACGATTAGATATTAATTATGTTGAGCAGATAGAGAATTCCATTAATGTACTGATGTATTTCAGGCCCTCAAAGTTGGCAAGATCGCTACAAAGTCGCGGACGGTAATTTGCAATCCCCAATTAACATCGAGACTGCGAACGCAAAAGATGACAACATTGTAGGACCAATCAAATTTCTTTACGGGAGCATCAACAACAGCACGCTCACAAACGATGGAAGACATCTGCAAGTCACGATAACTAAAAATGAATCAGGTAAAAAAAAAGACGTTTCGTAAAAAACGATTTTACTGGAATCTCGTTTGTTATTATAACTGCACGATCAAGCTATATTTAAAAAGAAAAATCATTTACAATACGCACAATATAAGCTGGCAACAGTATTATTCTGAAATAGTTACGAAGGATGTCATATTAAAGATATTCAAACAATATACGCTGTGTCTCGAAGAAATTTAAATAACCTTCCTAACCCCTACATAGGCTGTAGGATGTATTTCAATGTTTTATTTTGCGGTACGGAGGTCAAAGTGTTGATTCAACAATTTATTTGCTGAGATATATTTTTTTGTTTGTTTTGTCTTATTTTCTTTGTTTTCTCTTCACGTTTTCACTATGTCAGTCTGTGTTAATATTTTCGAGATTATTGTGAATGCTTAACATAAGAATTAGTCGTTGCCGATATTACCAACGTAAGTCTATATTCATTGTTTGAGCAAATATATTACCGCACACTCTATTCAAACTCTCCAGTTAAATAGATAACAGTTGTTCTAACAATTAACTAAGAAAGAAACTTCCGAAATGTTAATATTTCTATATTAATTCTCCTTTCAAATGTTATAAAGAAAACGAGATTCGCGATTGATTCAACTGGGTTGAAGGTCAGCAACAAAGCAATAATCCATGTTCCTCATTTTTATTTCCTTGAATTGTTTTACTTTTTTCCCTGGTACAGAGAAGTATTTTGAACTCAGCTCTAAGCTGTACTTCGTTATCTTTGTTGAACACCATATTCTGCTAGACAAAATGGCTACACGTCTTCTGCTCAGATATTTTTATGGTCAGTACTTTTTCAAGGCCAAACTCGCTGCATTGATCGAGTTTGTCTGTCTCCTGCAGTTTTGTTTTTGCTTTTCATTGAATTTATTTAAAGGAAATCTTGTAAACTCTGTTGGAGATTGTACATAAATAATAACTAACACCAAAACCGTTTTAAGAAAGCGTCAGTTTTTTGCCAAAAAAGCTAAGTCATTAGGCACTGAATGTGATATACCTAGTACCTCCTAAAAGGACTGCTGTTCAATCGAACTATGGACAAAATTTACAACTAATTTATCTTACATCAGTTAGACTACGAAAAGATGTTTATTAATACTATGTGGTTTGGTTGTTGAAATTTAATTGCGGTGTTGACAAGTTCACGGTTCAAATTCAGAGCATGATCCAAATTATGTAGTTTATATTCGCACTTGGTAAGTCGTGAGAGAAAATTCGAACGTAATGGCCGGTTTTACAATTTCACTTTCGATTTTAATTTCTTTTATAAGTGCTACTATGACCGGATTTTTACCCATTGAATTTTAACGGTGTACCAAATAGAACTCCACGAAAGATTAAAAACGCCGTTTACCGTTTGTAAATGTCTCCATTAGTTCCAGAGATATTTTAAAAGTTTGAAAAATGTGTAAAACATGGAAATGAAAGGACTGATGACGTCATACTCTCAACCCAATATTACATGAGGTATATAAAAAGAGCTATATCGGTCAATTTGCATAAGAGACTATTGAAACTTGGTAGGCTAATAGTTCTACAGGCAACACACATACGGCCATAAAAAATTCTGTTCTCACGGCAGCTCACTCTTGTCCAGTCTCTCGCCAACTCGATTTTAAAATTTTAGTGATCTTCAGCTCGAAAAACATTAACATAAGTAACATATTTATATGCTTGCTGAATCATGCAGTTAAGGCATAATTGGCAAATATCAAAATGATGGGCAGGTTAAATTAAGGCTGGTTGGGCTGAAATGCTTTTAATATCGGAGAGGTCTGGAACCCAGTATGTCGCCATGGTAGCAAAACTGTTAAGCTCATATTGTGGAAAACATCTAGTAGATTTGTATCGCAAAGAATCACACATTTATGATACAAATTGGCTGAGATATCTATCTTATCATATTTGATCAAAGTTTGGTTGAGTTTAATGTTACCAGCAGCACTGCTGCTTTAAATGAATTATTCCGAAAGTGGATTATTTTGAAATCATATATCGTAGGAAAGTAGATTACTAGATTTTCTGTTTTAAGTTTTGGCTCAATTTTTGAAAACTGTTCGACATCTTTTTGGTGTTTTTCGTCAATCTCACGTACACTGTCTACTGCCTTACTCAGTTATTACAGGTGGTCCCTTAACAGACAAATACCAGTTGGCTGTTATCCGCTTTCACTGGGGCCAAGACGATAGTTCAGGCTCTGAGCATTCCATAGATGATCAGAATTATCCATTGGAGGTAACACGTAACACATGACTTTCCGAGAGAAAAAGACCTGTAACTGCTCCTCCACTTTGAGGGGTACATTCTTTCTGACAATATAAATTACTTTGCACAGGTTCAACTCATTCACTGGAACAAAGACCTATACAAAAATATCGGACAGGCGATGGCTGGAGAAAACGGTTTGTGTATTATTGGAATCTTCTTTCAGGTAAACCTAAATTCTTTATAAAGAACTGGTTCATTAAAGTATTCCATCAGTTCTGCGGAACGACTTGTTGCAGGCAGGTGAAGGGTGTTAACCTCGTAAATGCAGCAGACTATATTTCTGGAACAGACTATTTTTATGTGAAGTCACTTAACCAATATCGAAGGCTATGTGTCTGTATGTCAGTATATCTGTCCGTTTGTCTCTCTATTTATCTGTCTGTTTATATCCGTCCGTTCGTCCGTCTGTTTTTGTGGCTGTCTGCCTACCTGTCAGTTTGTGGTTCGGTCGTTCCCCCTGTCGACCTCTGAGATTTTGATAGTTTGTTTGTTGGTTATCGTTTGTTGTTATTTGTTTCTTGTCTAATTCAGTTATAATTCAGGAAAGATTCTAAAATAATTATTAAGATATGCATGAGGAGTACAGAAATTAAAATTCTGTGTGGTAATGTGAAGGCGACCTGGGATTAAATAATATGTCTTTGCAATAATAGTAATAATGATAAGGATAATGACGTCTTTAAATTTATTCATTTGATAAAAATGCATATCAAGTGTTATGTACGACATATGTACGACGTTCATCATCGTTCACCTTACAGGTATCGGATGAAGACAACGAAGGTCTAAAGCCAATCGTGAAATTGCTTTCACGTGACGAAAACAAGGTTAGATTCAACAAGAGTATCGGGGAATGGACAGCTGATAACTGAAATGTTTCGCTTAACTTCTAACATTGAGAAATGAATGTTTTCAAACATAGTCAGGGATCAGAACGAGAAACAGAACTAGGAGTATAAACTACAAGCTGTGAGAGTGTTTAAATATCATACCTTGTGAGTAGTTTCCTCGCTTCCCAGATCAACACCTTCCTCTTCCTCCCCCTAATGTCCTAAATTTTCTCATTGGTATGAGGTTAAGTATTCCGCTTGCAATTCAGGAGAATGAAAACAGTCCTTAGCCACTGAGTCAACCATGATTAACTTGAAATCCATAAAGGTCGGCACACACGAGGGGACTATTCCCTGCGTCTAGTCCCTGCGTCTAGTCCCCTGAAGAGTTTACACGAAGGGTCTGGTCGCAGGGACTTGTCCCACAAACAGTTCACACG